GAGACTTGGCCTCATCCCCAAGATGGCTCATTATGCATAATCGGATATTCCAAAATCCAACAAAACCCCAAACCTGGAGCACTGCTGGCCCTCGGCACTTTGGATAAGGGACGCTAAGTCGTGCTGCTTGTGGTGAAAAGGCCGGTCATTGCCCATGGACTCTGTGTGAAGGCAGTGACAAGGACCAAGGGGCAGCACTCTGGGTCTGGTTTGTCATTGTGAGGATCTAAGTGGCCCCTGGCATCATGAAAAGGGGACCCTGTCCACCCTGAAGAAGCCAAGCTCGCGTCCAGGCCACGCATCTCCACCAGCTGTGTGGCCAGCTTCAGGGTCTCAATACCTGACAGCAATTGGGAGTCCCTCTGGGCCACCTCGGCCCTGTGCTGACGGCCCAGCTCATTCTTGGACAGTCCCTCTAGACAGAGGAAGAATCCTTGTCCCTTGTCCCTCCTCCTTGAATACGGGCCACCTGAGTGAGCCATCCTGCATTAACAGAATGTACCTGGAGTGACACGAAGTGGCTTTGGAAGTGGGGCCCGCAAAGGACATTCGGCTTCCGCCGTCATGGAAGAAGTCTGCGCACCCTGGGTCCACGTGCTGGAGAAGCCACGTGCACAGGCTCTAGTGGCCAGCGGGCTGACGTTCCCGCAGAGGGCCAGCAGGCAGGGAATGTGAGCCCCAACAGGGGACCACGCGGGCTGGCCTTGGCCTTGTCCCCCCTCCAGCTCTGTGCCCACCAACGCCCAGCCCACGAGCCCTGCCCAGCTGAGTGCCTCTGGAGCCCCTGATCCACAGACGGCCAGCACGCCCAGAGGGTCTCCTGGGGCTGCTGGCCCCTCACACGGCCGTGCTCAGCGCATATGTAAGGGGCACCATGGGGCCCACAGACTGCCACTTTATGGTACCTGGGCAGAGTCAGCCTGAACCTCTGTCCCTTTAGTAGGCTGCAGATGCACTGGAGGAAGCTGGGGGACCCCAAGGCCCTGCTTTGTCTGGCCTTGATCTAGCGTCACCCATGGAGAGCAGGACAGGATACGCTTGAGGCCAGGGCCTCATAGCTGGCCTGCTGGGTCACTCAATGATCTGGATAAGAGTCCCTCAAAGACCCATATTATTAAAGGCTTGGTCCCCAGCCTGAGGCCCTATTAAGAGGAGGTGGGACCTTTAAAAGGAGGGGCCTAACAGGCAGAAGTTTGGTCACTGGAAGAGTATCCTTGAAGGGGACAAGGGCCCCCCCAGCCCTTTCCTCTCTCTGGGCTTCCCATGGACCATGAGGTGAGCGGCCCCACCTTCTACAGGCCCCAAGCATGGGTGCCGATGGATCATGGGCTGAAATCTCTAAAACCATGAGCCAAAATAAACTTTCTTCTTTTTAAGAGAGAATACCTAAGGTATTTGCTTACAGTAACGAGAAGCCGAGCTGCCCTATCACAGTCTCCCCAGCTGGTTTCCTGAGGTCTCTGGAATCTGGGCCCTACCCGAGGTCCCTAGACTTTTCTAGACCCCCTGCCCATGCCTCCTTGCCGCAGCCCCCTCTCAAAGCCTGGTCTCTCCATGAGGCTGGGCCTCCCCAGATGCCTCCCATGGCCTCAACCCCGCCTCTTGGACTCCTCAGACTCATCCTAAGCAGCACATCTATGAAATCACAATGCCACGGGCCCGAGCTCTGAGCACCATCTACCATCTCCTCTGTCGCCTGTCTGGGGGCCGCAATCTGGGAAACACTGGTTTTCGGGCACAGAGGAGCCTTTCTAAAGAACCCTGGCGTGCATTTTATCATCGGTAGCCTGAGACGGGACGTTCAAATGGTTTTATTTTCTTCTCTGCACCCGACCACGGCCCTCCCGTTTTTATAATAAGCGGGGATCGGGCCTCTGTAACCAGAGACCGTAAATGAATGTTGGAAAATAACTAAGACATCATCTGCGTTTTCCAAACACAGAGAGTCGGGTGAGGAGAGAGAGTGGGGCGGGTGCCCAGAGGCTGGCGAGGGAGGCCAAGAGCGAGTTCTGCGGAATAAGCGCGCTCTCGGCCTCCCAGACGCCACCTCTCGCCCCTCTTCCAATTGTTGGAAGAGAGGAAACTTCATCCCTCCTGCTTCTCTGCCCGAGCCAGCTGTCACCGGGTGTGTGGGGGACGGGAAACAGGATTACAAGATTAACAGTGCGCCTGCGGAGCCTGCCTGGCTGTTATCAGGGCTGACTCCGGAGAGCCACAGTCCCCACTTGTCACTACCTACGGCAACCTGGGGGTTGGGACTCGCGCCCAAAATAAATCCTGCACAAGGACAAAACCGACTGGGAGCTTCCCCACAATCAGGTCGGTTTTCCTGAGTGTGTCCAGCGCTTTCTAGAGACTTTCCCACGTGGGTCCCGTGAAAACCCTGGGAAGTGGAAGCTCCATCTATTCAGACCCATTTCACAGAAGAAGGCTCTGGGGCTCTGCCAGGTGATATCACTTGCCCAGCGTCACCTGCTGATAATCACGACCAGGTTGGACCCATGTCCGTCGGACTTTGAAGCCTTCTATTGGAGTCAATCTGCTTCCCTCCCTCGCCTGCCCCAAGAATGTCACCAAAGAACTGAGTAGGAGATGACCTTATGGACTCCCCGACCTGGTCAGGGGTCAGCACAGCCCTTGGGTTCTGCCACGCTGCTCCTAACAAGGCCACAGAGACACACCACGGGGCTCTGGGAGAGACTAAATCCAACAAGTCACCCCTTCCCTCTGGTCCACGTGCATAGTCCCCACCAGGGAGAAGGCCTGGTCCATCTGGGGGGTGGCCAGGACAGCCAAGCAGACCAGCCTAGAGTCCCTGCCTGAATAGCCAAACAGCTGTGGTTCAAAGCCTGCTGCTCCGGATCTCGAACACTGCACCTGTCCCTCCTTTTGTGTCTGATATCTGTCCCAGCACCTTCCAAACTGCAGGGACCCCGTCTGACACAGGGAAGCCACGTGGAGTCGGGAAGAGACACACGCACCAGGCCTCGGGTGCAGCTCAGGGGTGCAGCGCTTGCCTGGAGTGCACGAGGCCTGGGTTCCGTCCCCAGCCCCGCAGGGAAAAAAAAAAATGCTGACCACACAATCTGCGGCCATAGGAGAAAGGAAGAGCCCCGGGAGACCCAGGGAGAGTTGGGAGGTGGCCCGTGGGAGAGGGCAGAGACCTGGAGGCTAAACAGAAAGGAACGACTCTAGGATGGGAGCATCCCCCGCAGTGACCAAGACAGAGAGCAGGAGCCAAAGCCGGGGCCAGGCCTGGGGGGACAAGGGGGGCAGCCAGGAGAAGCCTGAGCCTTACGCTGAGGGGCAGTAAGAGGTGGATGTCCCTTTGCGTGACTTGTGCTTTACAGAGATCTATCTGGTGGCTGCTTGGAGAAGCCCCCCAGCGGGGACAGGACCACAGGCAGGTCCAAGGCAGCCGGGAGGGTGCTGGCTGCCATGAGGGGCCTGAAAGGAGAGAGGGAGGGAAGCCGAGACCCCGTAAGAAGGTAGAATCGGGGCCCGGCGGAGTTCAGTGGCACAGTGTGAGCCTAGCATGTACGAGGCCCCGGGGTCCACCCCTTCCCCAGAAAGAAGGAGCATCCGCAGGACATGGTGACTAGTTCACCTGGAGAGGTGCCCGCGGCTCCTTCAATCTGCTACCCTGCTCTTGACCTCGTGGGAAGGAGGGAAGTCCCCCCACCACAGCCAGCTTGTCAGGGCGGTGGGGCAGGGCGGCCCCTACCTGTGCGGCCTGGACCTTCACACGTAGCCCTGGGAGGACTTGGGCAGGACAGAGCTGTTTCGGTGTCCCCTGAATTCTGAACACTGGAGGAGCAGCGCGACCCGTGGCGCTCCAAGGCACAGATAATTGGACCTCTCTCCACTAAGATGGGATTCCTGTCCACACTGTTTCCACTGATCCTGGGACTAAATTAAACACCGATTTCAAAATGTAGATGACTCAGGAAGTTGGCTATCGTAGCCACCAAAGGCACCTTAGGAGTCTACCGTTGGAAGGAAGCCAGCCAGGAACACAGGGACGTACAGGCGTGTGCTGTCCCCGGGCACAGCTGAAAGTAATGTCCTTGAGTTTTTAGAAGCCTGCACAATCGGATCTGGTAAGCCTGCTGCCTAAAAATAATTCCCCAGAAGGCAGTTTTAAATCCAAAGCTAAAGCCACCAGCTTCCTCGTTTCTCTTCCCTCAGTCTCTGAAGGCATATGTCTGTCTCCCTGCCTGACTCTTCCTGTCACATCTTCCAAAAAGGAGAAGGAAAAACCTCCCAAATGACTTCATTTTATTTTGAAACACTAAACCCACCAAAAGGGGGAAGGAAGAAAAAAACAAAAACAAAAAAACAAAAAAACCCTCTTGGTCAAAACAGCTCAAGATGTGATTTCTGATTCTCTTGCCATATGGCAAGTTCGTCTGGAAGCCTCTCCCGAGCACGGAGAACTTTGAGGACATCCACCATGCCTGTTCCATCTTTTCAAATCAGACCCCATCCCCACTCTGTGCATTCGCTCCAGTCTCTTCTATTTGTCATATCAGCGGCTGCGACCACAGGATATGTAAAAATACCAAGCAATTTTTAGCACCAGCTTCCAATCCCCCAGCGCCCTGGACACCACATGGTGTCAAATTTTGTACTTCACCCCTAGGAAATCAAGTCATTAACTTCTCTCTCATTTACCGTGAGCCGATGCCAAAGAGAAAAGCCTTCCTCGGCTGTGACTTATGGGAAGAAAAAGAGAAAGGGACTCCGCTCAGGAGAGAGATTGCAGAGGGAAGTGATGGACAAAGCCCAGCTCTCCTGATTCTTCTCCCGCCCGGGAGCATCACCCTCAGGTTGCTGATGGCCTCGGTCGCATGGGACAGTAATCAGAAAGGGGAACGAGCCTTTCCTCCCCATCTCTGGGCGCCTGGTGCTCGTGGGCAGGGTGGCCATAGCACGAGAGCTGAGTGCCCCCCCCCCGGCTCCACCAGGCACGGGGGGGGCACAGGGATCTGCTTTCCTACCTCTGCATTCTGGACATTCTGTGCAGCTCCATGTCGTCACTCCCCCGGAATCCTTTGGCGAAGGGATTGTTCTCGATCTTTAATTGCGTGATCTGAAGGAAGGAGGGAGAACCGGCCGTTTTACACTTTATTGCCACAAGACTACCTCAGGGACCAGAGCTCCTAACGGTGCCACGGAAACGCGGCCTCAGGCAACCCAAAGAAGCAAATTAAGCCAGTCATGTCACCGGGACCCACCACTTCATTGGAGTGGAGGCTTTTGAAACATGTCCTAGCTCAGACTGCCTTTGGGGGAGTGGGCGTGGGGGGCTGGATTCGGTTTGCACATTAATTGGAGTCACATTCTGCCATCCTTCCAGCCAGAGTCATGAGTCTAAGTGTGTGTGAGTGTGTGTGTGTGCGCGTGCATGCGTGCATGTGTCTGATCTGGGCACTTTGTATTTCTAGCACAGTGTAGGCCTCAACATTTGGTCCCCCAGCCCCCGAAGCCCCCGCCCTGGAAAGTCTTGCATGTTGGCACGGGGGGGTGGGGGGTTGTATATCCGGCAGTGAGGCAATCCCCCGTTTGGAGAAAACTTGTCTTGATGGTGACTTTCCAACAATCAAGTCATTTCATGGTTTCACAGACTTCACTGGCCCAGGTGGGAAACAGTGGCCAATAAAATAAACACGGACACGTGTGCGGATCACATCTATGACAGCGACCATACAGCTCTGGGCCGAGGTGGCTTCCCGAGCTCTGTCTGTCCTAGTGATCTGCAGGGTAGGGAGCTAAGCAACAGAAAGAGGGTCTTTCTGAACGTCTTGGCCTGGAACTTTAATTTAAACCAGCAACGCGTATTAGGGGAGTGTGAATGTGCAGTAGCCCATCCAGGTGACGGAGTGCATACATATGGTGTTTGCTAGAAGTAGTTCCTAAAAGTCATGTGTGAATTGATTTTTCTTTCTTTTTCGATTTTGTTTTTCAGAGCTGGGAATCGAACCCAGGGCCTTGCACATGCTAGGTAAGCGCTAACCAAGAACTACACCCCAGCCCAGAATTCTCATTGACAGTCACAGTATAGGCACCAGGACATCAAGACTCTAGCTTCAGTCCTGGGGGCAGGGCGGGGGGGAACCCCCGTCACGATCACTGTCGTATCATAGATCACCTGCATACTGGTTTGCTTGATATTTATATTTACATTGAACCTCTTTTTATTGAAATCTATTTTACCCGGAAATAGGATATCTCTTCTCTGTATGAAAAACTAGAATCCTTTGCTATTCAATAAGGAGAAAACCACTGTATCAAGATCTCTGTACTAGGACCCACAGAAAGCTCTACATCCAAACCCTGCCTTCCCCTGGTGGCAGGAAGAGATTAGGCGCTTTGGAAGACGTTGGAACACCACACACCAACTTGTACTGAAGGAAGGGCTATCTCTCTTCCTCCAAGAGAAGACTAGAAAGATAACTGGGAAGGGAACTTTCTCCCCCTGACTTGGATCATACTCGAGTGCCCCTGCAAAACCTCTCCCCTTACCCCAGCAGTACATGGACTTCAAGAAACTCTGGGCCAGGAATCATTAATGAAGGCACACTTCTAAATCGCTCCCCTGAGCTGTTCTGATACATCCTGCCTCTAGAAGAAACAGCCTACATAGATCCCTTCTAGCTCCAAGACTCTATAATGAACATGAAATCACTGTCTGAGGGCTGCGGTGTAGCTCAATGGTAGAGCTTCGGCCCAGCATTGCAGGAGGTTCTGGGTTCCACCCCCAGCACCGCAAACTAACAAACAAACCGACTCACTGACTTGCTCTATGTATGATACCTGAATGCATAACAACAACAACAAAAAAAAACATCTCACATTTTTAATATCTGACTCCAATAATCTGACATCCAGGAAAATAAAAGAAAAACTATGGTGAAAAAATTTCAAAAGGTCAGAAATTGCCAGGGGTTGAGGGGGAGGATGACGAGGCAGAACTCGGAAAATTTTTAGGGCAGTAAAGATCCTCTGTGGAACCCGGCCATGGTGGGCACCTGTCACTATATGGTTTGTCCAGACCCATAGCACCACATTACAGATATGAACGCTGAGGTCACAGCAGGTTTGGGGTGATAATGATATGTCAATGTGGGGTCGTCCACGTAACAGATGGACCACTCTTGTGGGGGTGTTGACCATGGGGAAGTCCAAGCACATGTGGGGGAGGTGCATGGAAAATCTATACTTTCTGGAACCACAAAGTGGTCTTTTACATCCATTTAAAAATATTTTGGAAGCCGGGAGTGCTGGCGCACACCTGTTATCCCAGCGGCTCAGGAGGCGGAGGCAGGAGGATCGTGAGTTCAAAACCAGCCTTGGCAACTTAGCAAGGCGCTAAGCAACTCAGTGAGACCCTGTCTCTGAATAAAATACAAAATAGGGCTGGGGATGGGGCTCAGTGGTCGGGTGCCCCTGAGTTCCATCAGAGGTACCCAAAAAGAAAAAAAAATTTTTTTGAAATACATGTATATACACACATCCATGTGTTTGCACACATGTGTATACACATTCCCTTCCACCCTCTTTATTTATTTATTTGTTTTTTTTCTGGGAATTGAACCCCATGTTGCCACTAAGCTACATCCTGGTCTTTTGATTGATTTTTTAATTTTGACACAGGGTCTCACTAAGATGCCCAGGCTGGTCTTGAACTTGTGATCCTCCTGCTCAGCCTCCTGAGTCGCTGGGATTATAGGTGTGTGCCACTGCACCTGGCTTCATTTAAAAAAAAAAAAAAAAAAAACTGAGCTCATTCCTGCAGATTTGTGATTTTGTCTTAACTCTTCACTGTGAGTTAAAAAAAAAAACTCTACAAAATCCTTTCACAAAATAATCTTCAACATGTACACTCTTGGACAGCTCATTTTAGGAGTCTAAGATTCCATCACCTTTCCTTCCCACTCAGATTTCATCACAATGAATTGCAACTCAATGAATAACAAATCATTTTTAAAAAAATCATAAAAAATGAAATTAGATCATTTAAACAGGAAGATCTCAGTGGTGTATGAGGCTGAGGTAGGAGGATGGCAAGTTTGAGGCCAGTCTTAGCAAGTTAGCGAGGCCCTAAGTAACTGAGTGAGACCCTGTGTCCAAATTAAAAAATAACAAGGGCTGGGGATGTAGCTCAGTGGGTATGTGCCCCTGGTTCAATCCCTAGTCCAAAGGAAGAGAGAGAGAGATTTGGGTGGGTGGGTGGGGAGGGAGAGAAGAGAAGAAAAAGGAGGAGGAGGGAATCCTTTCCCCCAGGCCAACCCACCCCAGCCACAGAAGCTGGTCCCTGCAAACATTGAGGACAGGGAGGATGGGGACTTGGGGCTGCATAGTGTGGGCAACCCATAGTTACTGCCCCACCAAGAATTCAGAGCCAAAAGTTGCAAAAGGGAAAAAAAATGGGGGAGTTTTATTTTATCTGCAAAAGACTTTTGCTCAAATCCATTCCTTACACCCCAAACAAGGTCCCTTACTCCCTAATTCTTATGCTTTATCACCACAGCTTACGAGAAATAGCACAATTTGCTAAATAGAGACTTTTGGAGATGGAGTGTAGGCACCCTTAGGACCTAAGAAATGCCTTTGAGAAACATCGACAGATGAGCTTGTCTGCAAATGAGAATACCTTTCTCCATGTGTCCCCGTCCACTTGAACGACAACCCTGTCTGTAAAGTCCCCTTGTCAAGAGGCTGTGTGTGCTGGTTCAGGAGTACCTAAGCCCATCCACCTGGATGCTCCAGTTCTGCCAAAAGTCTCCCCTGAAACTCCCTCGTATTTGCCATATAGAGGTGCTCCCTCCAAAATCAGCATAAAACCGGATATCCGGGGGAGGGCTGGCCGTGTGTGGGGGGGCTGGCCGTGGGGGTGGGGGAGAGGGCAAATATAAATACCAGCTCCAACTGGTGAGACAGAGGTTGTAAAAATTAATGAGAATAATTGTTGTGAATTCTTGCTTTTGAAAAAAAAAGGGGGGGGGGGAACTCATGAGAGCCAAAAATCTTAATTATGTCTCTCTATTAGGGGTTCATTTCCTGGTCCCAACCAGAAAGCTCGTACCTCATAAATATAGGCTGCGTACACAATGATTTAAGCAGGAGGAAAATGCTTTTTGATGGAAAAGTGAGTTAATATTGGGGGATAGAGCCGTGGCATACACAGCCATGGTCGCAAGGGCAGGGAAATGAAATGCCCACGTGACCTTTTTTTAACACCTAAATATTTCTGGGCATGGCTGCCGAGAACTGCAGTGAAAACCTGACAAAGACATGTTTCACAGGGTGAACGTCGCCGGGGAAGATTCGAGTGTTTAAATATCTTTCTCAAGCTGTCAACCATCTGGGGAAATAATTCCCAAATCCAGCTTGGGATCACAGCTGGGCTGAGGAAATATGTCTCGTCATTAGGAGCCCTTGTGGGCTCAGGCATGTGACTGCAGCCCAAGAAATGAGCTCTTGTCGCATGCCTACCCCCACCTGGTACCTGCACCCACGTCCAGAAAGACCATCCCCAAAGCAAAGCACGGAGCTCTCGGACCAAACAAAAAGGGACTTGTATTTTCCCAAAGTGTCCTGGCAATCGAATCGCGTGGATTGCTTTTCTTGCCCTGATCCTTTGTCCAAAGCAAAATACAAGACGAAGGGTCCTTGAGTTGACGATATGATCAGGGAATGAACCCAGGAAAAACCACAAGGAGGAACACTGGTAGTTCTTTTTCAACCACGGCAATAAGAACTTATTTAAAATCTCCCGTCTTTCCAATTCTAAAATAGCCAGGGTGTGACACTGAGTAGGCCGAATGTTCCAGAATGTTCCTTTGGAATAGAGTTGCCCCTCCTAACCGATCAGTGAAGTCTTCCACCAATGGCTGGATCACCAGGACAGGAACTAATTGGATGCCAAGCCCTGTCCTGCACCTCTCCAGGTCTATCTCGGGTCATCGTCCTGATGATCCTACAGGGTTGATGTTCTTATTATCCCCATTTTACAGATAGGAAAAGTGGATCAAGTCCATTGTCCAGAGTCAAATGGATGTGAATCCAAACAGTCCGCCACCCCCAGAGTCTCCCTGGCAACCTACGCGTCGTAAGAGCCCAGCTGGATTCCACCCATGGAGTCAGAATTCTCAATACCCGTTCCAGGTGGGACAATAAAGTAATGAGAACAAGTCCACAAATCATATGCAACCCCGGCCGCTTATTTAAATCACACATCATATATCCATGGGGGAAATGTTTGCAGGGTCTTGGACTCGACTGGAAACGTGTAAGGCCGTGGACTTGCTCCTCACACAGCAAATAGATGCCTTTGAGACTCTGAGAGTAAGAAGGGAGGGAAAACCCAGTGGGCCTGGATGTCTCCTATGAAATCCTTCTTCTGCCTGCCAAAGAATATGTCAGGCTGGCTAGAAAGACCTCTATGTGCAGTTCAGCTGGGCTCTCTGATCCAGATAAACAACAACAATAACAAAAGAATTCCTGTATGCAAACCCTGATTGTGATCATCAAATGCACACGTATCTCAATGTACAGCTGAAGATGCACATTTTTGACCTGTGAGCATTTAGACAGATGAATGCACAAAATCCACACGTATGAACGCCCCCTCCTCAGGCATCCATCCACATGCACAGATCACTAAATATATACAGGGCAGAGAAGAAAATTTTGAAAAGAAATTTGGGAGGTATTGGATATTTTCATGATTCCACTGAAAGTTTTACTGGCATGCACGTATGTCAAGCGTGAAGTTGTATGTATGCTTCAAGGGGCTGGGGAGTAGCTTAGTGGAAGAATGGGTGCTTAGCTTTGTCTAATGCCCTGAGTTCAATCCCCAGCTCCCCCGCCGCAAAAAAAAAATACATAAATAAATGTGTACTTCAAATGTTGCATGTGATGTTATGCTATAAATAATGCTGCAAACAGAGAAGAGGAGAGGGAGACAGTGATCTCTTTGAGACCTACCCACAGCTGATGGGACCTAAGATCATAACTATATAGAATCCAGAATCTTTCCCCCAAGGACCCGAAGTCTGATGTGGTTTTGAGAAGATCACTTTCAAGTGTGCACTCCTTCCCCTATGAACATGGCCTTTCTTCAGAGACACAGAGAATTGGGGAAAAAAAAAAAAAAAAAAAAGATCTGATATACCCCTGGACTCTGTGTCAGATCTGGGAGCCTCTGAGCATCTATACATGTAGACGAGGCTTCAGCTTCTTGATTGCTATTTCTCCTGTGACCACACTGGTTGCCACAGCCTTAGAGGAGACAGTTTTCAAGAAGCCAGATTCAAACTGAACTGAAATAGTTCTGCTGCTCTCGGGAATTTGGACTTCACTGTTTCTCACCCTTGGCTGGTTCAACAGGAGGAGAGGACTCAGAATAATCTTCCTTCTCCTTTAAAAAAGCTGTTGCTTTTTTCTAGGGAAGGAGGCTCTCCCCTAAGATCAGGAAGGAGCCATCCATCACAGCTTGGCCTGGTCACTGACAACCTGAATTTGGAGATTACCCAAAGCCTGTTCTAACAGCCCTGGCCTCTGTGGGGGGATTATCTGCCACCCAGCCTGCTCTGGAATGACCTCGGTGGGGTAACTGGAGGCTTTAGAGTGCTAACCCTCCCCTGGCCTCTCTTGCCAGGCTCCACAGACTTTGTGGTTTCCAGGAAAGGGGCTATGGGAGGGGGAGGGTTACGGCCATCCCCACATCCATCCAGGTAAGATGAGTGACCTGCCCTCACTCATCCCACAGGGACTGCCCCCCTCACCGTCCAACCTGGCCGCCCTCACTTGAACTGCCTCTAAAGGGAGGACACTGACTCTAACAGAAGAGGTTCTTCCACGGAGGGTAGTGCCAGCCATTTCCCCCTCCACACTAAAATGATGCCTTCTGGTGGCATTTGAGTGAGTGGCCATCTAAATCATGACAAGTCAGTCAAACAGGTGTGTGTGCGCATGACAGCTGCCTCCAGCAGTAGGAACCACCACCACCCTTAGGCTGCAGTTCTGCGCTTCTTGGGGTAGAAGTTGTGCAGGTGCACACCGCACACTGGTAGAGAGCCTGCCTCAGAGCACAAAGTTGCAGCCAGGACCAGACTGCATATTCAGGAAGCCAGCAGACAGTCCCAGGTGCTGCCTGCTGGGAGCGGGGCTCACCTTGTGATTCTGATAGGAAGTCACCGCAATAAATGCCGTCTCCGGGAAGACGTGGGTGCAGAATGCTGTATTTTTTGAACCGAATCCATTATTTTCATCTGCTTTCACGATGTGTAATCTGGGCTGGTATTTGTGCATGGAATTTAGAATAATCTAAAAATAATAAAGAGAATGAGATTGTAAGAAAATCAAAACTCCCTTTGTTTCCAGATAAATCCCTGCTCCCTCCCCCCCCAATTAGCCTTCCAAGCTATAGACTCTCTCTCGGAAAAATAGTCATTTTTTTTCCCTTCTGTTTTGAAAAGGGGCCAATGATTTCATTAAAAAGAAACATTTCAAAAATGACAATTTCCAACTTAAAAAGCCAAGGTAATATTCCAGTAATCTACCCAAGGCACACAAAGCAGTAAATCAGAATTCTTAATAAAGTTTGCTTAATAAATTAACTCTCTGCATAGGGCACTTCCCACCTCCCCAATGGGAGCCTAGTGAGTCTGCTTTGGGGAGCAAATGAGTCTGGGGAAGGCTGGGCAGCAATTTTGGAATGACTAGGGTCAAGAAACAAATACCCACCCCCAGGCCAGCCAAACCCTCTAGTCATGTAAAGGAAGACACTAAGCTTTTGCAAAACTGGAATGAAAATGAGACTTTTCCTGAGACTTGGACCTCAAATCTTGGCCCTTTGTGAAACAGGCAAACTAATGTCAATAAAGAGACTTTTAGGGGTGGGAAGTGCAGCCTGGCCTCTCAGGAGAGCCAGATATGGGCAGGAAGCACCCGGCAAACCACCCCATCAAAGCGCTGGGCGGGTTGCCCTGGAGGCTCCCCTTCTCCAACTTTATCTCATCATTCACAACCAACGTCATCTCCAGGCTCGGAGCTGGTGCATCTGCTTTGGGGGGTGGGGGGTAATGTGATTTTTCTCTCTCCCTCCTGCCCGCCTCCCCCATCGTAGGGTTCTTCCAGGAGAAGGTCTCCCTGCTTGGAGGACCTCTGCTGGATGCACGTTCTTGCTGGAGCCAGGACTATTCACAAGCGATGAGCATCGCTTCTAATAAAACTGGGTTTGTTGTCCTGATGACGCCTGGATTTTGATGCTCCCGGACCATTAACACTAATATTTACCAAAACTGTCCTGGTCCATGCCCACTGGATGGGCGAATCGCTGGCCTCTAAAGGCCCCCAAATCTGGCCCGCTTTTTTCCCCCAGGACCACAATCTGGAGCGACTGGGATTGTCTCAATGTCTTTGATTATTTGCAAGGATGACCCTGGGGCAGGATTTTCGGACAAACCCGGGAGGCCCCGCAGCGCGGAGGGGGAAGGGCTGCCGCTCGCGGCCCTGCGCTGGCGACCCGGCCGGGGCTCTAATCTCCGGCCGCCGGGCCCGGCCGCCTCCCTGGCCGATAGCGACGCCGGCCGACCGGGGCAGCGTGGCGACAGAGAGACGCAGCGGCCCCCGCGGGCAGCCACAGCCCCCGGCCCGGCGCGGCCATCCTCCCGGCTTAGCCAAATTGCCTTGACGGCTGGGGACAGTGTGGAAACGTCAACGCCAGGGCGATCTAATGGCTCCTAATTTCATTAGGGAGGCTCTGGATTAAAAGTCCAGAGTTTGGGATAGAGCACCTCTCTCGCTTCCCGTGGGCTGCTCAGTGGGACCTGAACCCCCAAATTTGGTGGCAGGGCTGTGCACCTTCCCCAGATGTCCACCCCAGAGCGACCCCAAAGGCACAGAAGAAAATCAGAGGGGAAAGCTAGGAAGTGGCCTCGGGCTGGGGGAGCCCTCACTTCCCAGCATGACTCCATCCCCTCCCCCGACCAAGCCCCCTGACTACCCAGCCAGGAGATGCACATGGGACCTTTACAAAATGGTCCCCCCTTCCTCAGAATCCCTTGAAATATAAAATGTCTGTTTGGAATCAGCAGAGCGACTCCTTACCCTGGGCCATCTCCCCACCCAGGAAAGACGGAGATGATTTCAAGCAAGGCTCAACAGAAAGGAGGCTCTGCTGTTTGGCTGGATGCTTTCTGCACCCCTTGGAGCCTTCCCGGGGACACAGAAAGGGCAGGGGACTTTCTCCTCTCTGGCCAGCAGTTCAGCCTCTTCCCACCCCAGATCCTGGTGGGCTTGTGCTGAGTCCTAAGACCTGGCAGGAGGAGATTCCTCATCTGAACTTTCACGACTGTGCTCCCTCATGGCCAAATCCATTCCCACCCCACCCCCTCCTTTCCCTAATTTGGTGACCAAGTGTCCCTCGGTTGCTGTACTCTGGAGAGACAACCTGGTGGGACAAAGAGTCTCTATGGAGTTAGAGCTACCCTCAAATCCCTGATCCCAAATGCAAGCTGTGTGACCTTGGACAAGTCACCTCCGCTCCCCGTGCCTTTTGTCTTCCTCTCTAGGCTACAGTGAGGATGGATGCCCCAGGGTGAAGGAGCCCATTATGAAATTGTCAACAGGGACCTCCTCACTGAATTCCTAGACTGTTCTATCTAATTATTTCTATCATTAGAAATAATACAAAGAGATTTAGGGACATCCCCCCCCCAAAAAAAAAAAAAAGAATCAGTGTTTTGTTCTTTGTTTTCTTTTGAGGAAGAGGGGGTGACACCCTGCTGAGAATCCCCTAAAAGCTACCTGCTGTCTGGGCAGGAGGTGGGAGGGGGGCGGCTGCACACTCAATATCCAGCATATGCTGTCAGGGAATTCACCAGGTCCCCCTCTTGGGACCAACCTAGACTCCTCTGGTGGCTTCACTGGCCACCTGTAGAGAAGGGGCAGACCACCTCCCTCTCACCCAGGACATTTAAAAAATGAGGCAGAACTTGGAAAGGACAGGGAAAATATACGCTCCCCTATGAGGCCTCTCCTGTACTAGGTCCCTGCTGGGCCCCAGTGTCCATGTTGTTTGCATAACTGAAGGCCCCCACCTCTCACCGCACCTAAGGCACAGGCTGACCCTGCAGGCCCCATTGTCCAGGCCTGGAATGAGCAGCCCCCAAGACTCTGGACCCTCAGTAAAGGCAGAAGGTCGGGGATTGGCGGCACAGATGCAGCCCCAGGCCAGGAGAACCGGGAGCCCTGGCTCCAGCCAACAGGGAAATACAGACCCAGGACCGTTCCACAGGAAGGACAGCTGAGGGTGGGCCCTCTGAGCAGGAGGGTGGTGGAGACAGAGGAGGAAGTGGTAACGAGGAAAAGAAAGCAAAGGGAAATCTGAATGAGGAGGTGAGAACTACAGGAGAAGGAAAGAGAGGAGACGAGAGAGGGAGGAAAAAGAAGAAAATGAAAGACCAAAAGCCAGATCAAAAAGGGACCTGGGAGGGGGGAAATGGAGGAAAGAAATGGAGAATCGTGGACACGTGAAGCTGAGAAGAGCAAGCGTTGAGGCCGAGGACGGAGAGGGCCAGGGTACTTACGTGCCCAAAGGGGTCCAGGTGGTTGTTGGTGAGCTTGAGTTTCTGGAAGGAGACGAGCTGTCTCATCCAATGCGCCCCTGTGGCTGGCGAGTCAGGGTGCACATAGAGGCGGCCCGGCATGGCAGGCTCTGCTTTGCCGGTCACAGACCTAAACCAAGGAGAGGCGTGACCTGGGGGCTGCAGTAGCAGAGGTACTGCACCAGGCAAGGGCTGCCAAGCACTGGCCGGGGACATCTTGGATCATCCTGACCCTCCCATCTCCTTTAGGCTCCCAGGTGCCCCTGAGTGCCTGGCGCCAGCATCCAGGCCAATCCCCTGGCCCGACTCTTTCTTCTTCCACCTCAAAGTTCCCCTAGTGCCAGGCGTGCCTGGGACCCTGTGGTGTCTCACGCACACAACCAGGCCGGTTCTGGAAGCCTGAATGTGCAAAAGAAATCTTGAAAACTCCTTAAGTGCATTCAAAGAGGGCCTCCTCCTCTTCAAGCCCCTGCACTCCTGGCAGCCAGGGAGCAATCGATCCAAGGAATGGGCCTCTCCTCTCTTGCCTTTTTAAACTAAAATGCCATGGGCCGATTTTGTAATTTCATAAAAAAGCCATGTTCAAAGCAGGTAACTCATAAAAAATAACTGTAAATGGTTTTATGCCCCCCAGAAATACATCCAGGGCTTGGTAACAATACTCTTTTTAAAAAAATCCGGAGCTCGTGTGTGCAGCAATAGAGGGCCCCATTTCCTCTGAGCCTCAGTTTTCTGGTCTATCAAATGGGAACTAATGGCTGTGGGTGGGGGGTGGGGGTGGTCAGCCGGCTGCAATAGAATAGTCATGTGCAAGCCTCGGAACACACAGTGGGAGCTAAAAAAATGTTTACTCCTTCAAGGTGGGGGATTCCAATTCCCTCCCTGCCCTCCTCCTGTCTGGTGCCTACCATTTATTATCTGCAAACTTATATCTGTGGTCATCCGCAGGAACAATGTCCATGAGGAGGATATACTTCGTTTTGGGATTAAGCCCAGTCACCTTGACTTTATAACTGGGAAACATCCGCCTAGGAGAGAGAGGGGGAGGTGGGGAGAGGGAATTGATGTCAATATTTGAGAAGCATGTCTGCAGATTTTAATGGAAAATGCAATTCCTTGAAACAAGTAAAACGGAGGAAAAACTGGCTCCACTCCACTCTCCCTGAGATCCATCCCGGGTTTCCCTTGAAGTTCTGGTGTGGGGAGGAGGAAAGCAAAGGGATGGGAAAGGAGGAGGCACCTGGATACCTGTGGGGACCTGGGAGAAATAGCAACCAGAGGCTGCTTAGAGAGAAATGGTTTTAAAGAAGGCTTGAAAGGGACCCCTTTCAAATCCAACTAAATGCTCCTCTCAGAGCCAGCCACCTACTCTGGAGGAAAGGACTCCAGGACTGGGGTCAAACCTAGCCCCCTTCTATCTGTCCAGGTGCATGACTGCAGTGTCAGTAGACACCGAGGTGTGCGCCCTAGGGACACGCAGCCCGTGGGTGTGCATCTGCCCTGGGTCCTGGCTTTTGTTGTCCGCCATCAGGGGCGGGGATTAGCGGCGGTTCCCAGTTTAACTCGGTGGGTCAGCCCCACGGGGTCTCCAGCGGGAGTTCATTCTTAAACGCCACACTTCCCCAAGGCGCCTGGGGCAGTCTAGGTTCCTTGGCCCTCGGCAAAGAAATTCCAAATCTATCCAGATTTGGTTGCAGCAAGAGCTGGGGCCTGACCTGGGGTCGGTGGGCGGAAAGCCGATGCGCGCAGCAGCCTGGTGCCGGCTACTTCTGGGCGCGGGGCGCACTCCACGCTCTCATCCCGCCTCGTGAGTTGTAAGCCCCGGGAAGCAAGGCTCCTCCCGGCTGAACTGGGGCGAAAGGACCAGATGCTGGTCCTGGGCTGGCTCCGCGCTGGCGGGCAGGGTGAGCCGAGGCCTCTCCCTAAGCCTCGGTGTTTATCTGGCCGAGCAGCGCGCCTGGCTGGAGGCGGAGGCGCAGGAGACTTCGCAGGCCTTTTATAGTTACATCCTCGGCTCCGGCAAGGGGGGAAAGGATCCCAGCCCGGGCTTTCCTTCCCCGGCGGACTGGGAAGAGGACCTCAGTGCCTTGGTATAAACAGATCGCGCGCCTCCCAGTTCACTCCGGCCTTGGGCCGAGCGGAGGAGCCGACATTGTTTAATTTCAAATAATAATAAATGTCACGGTTGTCAGTTTATTGTGGGAGGCTTGGAGCAGGGGAACCGCGGCGTCTGCAGAATCAGCTGCACCCTCCGCCTTCGCACACCCCGGCGGCGTGGGCCTGCCGGCCTCCCTCGCTCCACGCGCGCGCTCTGCACAGACCCGAGGCCTTCCGCCCTTCCCGCATGGAGGACCCATCCAGCCCGGGGATGCTGGTGGCGGGGATGTCCTCAGGCCTGGGCAGGAGCCCTCTCACACAGGGAGGCACAGAGCTAGCGGCACGACTCTGCCATCCCCTCCCCCATGAGTCTGGCTTTTCCAGCTCCAACTCCGCGAGCTTTGAAGAGGAACTCTGGGGCCAGTCTTGGCCAAGAGGCCGTGTTTATCGGTGTCTGCGTATAGAGCTCCACCGAGCCCCGGTTCAGTTTCAAAGGCTTCGCCTGTGTTCTATAAACAATGGAAGAGGTAGCGAAGACATCCAACAATTCAGAGTTTGGCCATCGGGTGGACGCTGGAACCACTCCAAGGTCAGGGAGGGTGGGGATGCGGGTGGGGGCGAGGGATCCAGTCCGAGAAACCTAGGAAACCCAAAGCCCTGATCTGTTTTCCCTTTCTCTCTTCGCTCCATTCTTCCTCTTCTTTCTTTCACTACAAATCCGTCCAGAAGCATGGCTTCCGTGCTTTTTATTCTTCCTAAATATGAGCTGGAAGAAACACCCAGCTTCCAGAGTTGAGGGTTTGGAGTGTATCCCCATCCTTCTGAGGGCCAGTGGAAGGATTCTCAATGTGCCTCTTTAACCAGAATTGAGTCAAATATTTTATCCCCCAGCCCCCAGCTAATTCTTTCTCTAGACCCCGCTCCTCTCTCCCTCTCCATGCTCTCCTGCTCCCCGCCACATTTTTTTCTTCTTCTTCCCTCCCTCTGCGCCCCTGTGCTCCCTCCAGATCCTCAGCCAACTCACCTTCCAGCCTTCGTTATGATCATTTCTGTGCCCACTTCGTGAAATTTCAGCCACAGTTCTCTTTCGTGGAGAAACACCTTGATTCCTTCCATGCCCTGCAGGCACAAGAGAAAGATGGCAAGTGAGAAGCTTGGGTGGCAGTGGACATTTCTTCCCAAACTGCAAGACGGCTTCTCCCACTGCCTTGGTGCCTGTGGACTCAGAGGGTGAAAAGTGCCTCAGTCAGCTGCAGAGTTGTCTGGGCTCTGGAGCACCCTAGAGCCTCCGCCCAGGAATCCCGGTGCTGGCTCAGCTGTGAGGGGGCAACCAACGATTACTTGATTCTCCAGTGTCATACAGCCCCCCTAATGCCCTCAACACAAAGTTTGAGAGTCATCACCAATATTAGGGGTCTCCAGGACTGTGGGGAGGACCCATGGGCCAATTTCAATTCACTTCCAGCTGGGAAACAGGGGACCTCAATCTAGAAAAAAACAAAACACCAAGGACATTCTTTGTAGACATCCATATGTCCACTCGCAAAACTTATGAATATGCAACTCATGTGCCTATAAATGTTTGTCCTCCATCATGGTAGAACATACAAGGAATTTTAAATATAAAAAATTTATTATGATTATATGATATGTTGCTACAGTCGAGAACACAAATTCTATCTTAATAACCTTTCTGGGCCCTCTGTTCACTTTTAGCAATTTGGAATATGGGGAACAGCCGAAACCAATGTTTTCACTTTCAACGAAAAGTCATTTTGCAAAATCAATGCAAAAAAAAAAAGATATGAAGTCTTTCTTTAGAAACATGGGTAATTGTCTAAAAAGTGGATTTGCTTTTCCAGAAAAGAAAAAATTCTGAGCCCCGAGCCCTGGGTGTACTTCCTTCATCCCAGCAACTCAGGGTGTTGAGTTCCAGGCCAACCTGGGCGATTTAGCAAGATTTAGCAAGACCCTGTCCCAAAGTGTAAAAATAATAATAAATTAATTTAAAAGCCTGTGTAAGGCCCTGGGTTCAATCCCCAGTACCAAAATACTAAGGATGATGATGAGTCTATAAGTTTCCCTAACTGTGCTTGCAGGCTGTGTAAATATTACGCCTGTTTTCCTGAAATAGGAAGACAAAAGAGAAAGTCTGGAAGGGCATCGAAATTTAAGGAAGGCTGAAGCTATGTGTACCAATCTCTTCTGGTCAAGTCAACCGCTTTGCGGGTCTGTGACATCCATTTTAAAACCGTCATCGGTCTTGTGGCCGCCTGGTGCACCCAGTGAGCTGGGGGTTAGGGCGCGGAGCACAAGGCAGGGCTCCTCCCTCTGCTGGGGCCCAGCTTCAAGCCAGGCGAGCCCGAGACTTCCTGTGCCCTCTCGGGCCAGCCTCCTGCGCTCCTCTCGGCCTGGCCTGCGAGGGCGCGCTAGCCCGCCAGGCCCCGACCGCAAGACAAATGGTGCGATGCGCTGGTCTAGGCAGCGGGGAAGGCTACGGGAGATCTAAAGAAGGGTCAAGCCATCGCTCATGCCGGCCTGAAGCAGCCGCTGACCCGGCTCTTAATAAGGCGCTCAGGGCCAATTCTACACCTAATGCAGCAGGCCAGGAATTCTCTGGGCTATTGTTTGCTGACCTCAAAAAGCCGGATAATTGAGATTTCTCTAACAATTTAACTAGCTTTCAAAAATCCTCAGGCCATAAAGATAATTTCATAATAAAATGCATTGGAATACACTGGTATTTGGGAAGACAGGGCAGACAGCTGTGGAACTCAGTGGGAATAACAAGGAAAATGGACCATAATAAGCCTTAGGCTCCGCACCCCTCCCCTGCGCCGGCAGAAGGAATCCAGCAAACCAGCGGGACTCCAGTAGGCTTTGGTGTCTGGAAAGGGCCTTCAGGTGCAGGGTCTGCTTACCTGCTGGGTGAAGGCGGCCTGCGGAGACGACGGGGACTTGCTGGGAACCCCTAGTGTAGTCTCGGGTTTTGAATCACAGGACAGGTCTTTGGAGTCAGGCTCCAGAGGCGTGTGCGCCAGGCCAAAGCCCTCGTCTGCGTCGGCCATGGTGCGCCCAGGGCCCTGTGCCCGTGCGAGGTTCTGCTCTGAGAGAGAGAGTTGGAGAGTGGAGAGTACAGCTTCAGCGACAGGAGGGAGCAGTTTGACCCCGTGTCCAGTCACCAGCCCCTTGGTTCCCAGCTGAAGGAAACTGCAGAAAGTCCTATTATTATTATTACTATTACTTTCTGACCACGCACAATCTCTTGCGAAAGACCCGAGTCAGACCCGGAGGAGGAGAGGCCCCCATCTCCCCTGCGCAGGCTCTCCACGATAAGCTAGCTGCCCGTCAAATTTGTCTGAACTCCTGAAAGAGCCAATAAAGATAAGGGTCGGTATTTTTGGAAGCCATTGGGTACCAACCAAATACAAAACAAAACAAAAACTCAGTCTCCTTTTGAGAATTTCTTTTCTTTGTCAAACTGCAGGAGGCCATCGGAATTTTTTTTAATTAAACCTCAAGAGAGGGATAGTTATCTGCAGTAGGCAGAATGCTTGCAATAACCCGCCTCTAGCAAAACCCCCAAACCGAGGAAGGATGTCCAAACTGAGAGACCAGGTTCAAAAGAGAATTCGTGTACATCTTTATCAGCTACAGGCCCTAAGATGAAAAGTCCTCTAAGAAAAGGAAAAAAGTCATCCCTTAGCTCCAACCCTAAGCAAGACTTATTTTAAAAACTAAAACGTAGCCATACGGAAGGCTCCCGAAGGAAAGCGGCGACTCTGCAGGTCGGAGAGAGAGAAGCACCCGGTGCCGGCCGCCAGCGCTCCTTCGCGGCCGGCCGCGGGTGCGTGTTCTCCCGGCTTGCTCGGCTCTCCGCGCTGGGTATTTTTTCAAGCGTCCAGGCCGAGGGGAGCGTCTCCAAGCTGCAGCCTGGCCTGGCTCGCTGAAACGGCAGGCAGGACTGGCTCGGGGTTGGAGGGGACAAAATCGGTCCCGCATAAATCCTGGGCTCCAGGCGTTGAATGGGTCTCGCGTTCTGCCGCGGTGGGGAGAGCGGCCCGGGGTCGCAGGCGTAAGAGGATGGAACCCGCAAAATCGCTGCCACAAGGCCGTTGGAGCCGGGATGGGTCTGTCTGCTTCCAATCTCCTCCACATTTCCAAGGAGGGATTCCCACCACCTTCACCACCACCCTGCCTCGAAGCACGGCAAGATTTTGGGAAAGGGGTGCAAACGACAGTCCCCGCAGCATATGCTTAGGCAAGCGGTTGAATTTCCCTGGTCTGTAATGGCTCAGACCTAAACACGGGACCGAGAAGGACAGCTTCTGAGGCCAAACCTCCAAGCAGCTTCCTTCCCCTCGGCCTTGGGGATTTGGGGGAGGCAGTTCTAGGAGCTCCGGCAGCCTGCTTACAACAAAAGAACGCAGGGCCGGCGCCCCCCACCCCCACGCTCCCATTCACTGCGGATCCCGGAGAGAATTCCACCGCGCGCCCTTGCCAGGGTCCGGGGGAGCTCGGGGCTGGCGGAGACGAACAAGATGCGGTTTGACAGAACCAGGCCGCGCGTCCTGCAAGCCTCAACGCCTCTCCCCGAGCCGCGGCCGCCTCCCGGGCTGCACTCGCCCGGCATCTCCGGCCACGCAAACCCTCTGCGAGCCGGGCGCTGCAAGACGCAGGGAAGGCTGCAGTCCGCCATTCGCGCCTCTGCAAGCGGACTCCGCGCCAGCAGGCTCCCTCCCGAGTCTCCCGGGCCATCTGCGGGGACCATTACCTCGCTCGGAGGAGCCGGTGCGTTCACCACATTCCCTCCTGGCTCCTAGCAGGCAAGCCGGCGGCGAGGTGGGGGTGCAGGCATGGTGACTCCGAGGTTTACGCTGGGGACTGCTTGCCCAGCCTAGCGCCTACTGCTGCCTACAAAGGAGCACCCACCGCTGGAGTCTCGGCGGCGCCTGCCCACCTCCAACACACACCTCCTCGGTGTGCGATTGCTCTCCTAAAGGGCTCCGACTTGTCAGGCGCCACAAGGGCTCCGAAAAATACAAAACAGCAGCTCTGGGAGTGCCAGCAACCTTAGAACCTCATCGCGGAATCCTCCCTTGCACCCCCAGGGAGGGAAAGTTGGGAGACAAGAGAAAGCCGTGGGGAATTGTCCAAGTCCTTCTCTGAACACCGCTTTCAGGGTTAAAGTTCCGGAATTTGAGGTAAGAGTCAGAGTCAGTCTCTCTCTCTCTCTCTCTCTCTCTCTCTCTCTCTCTCTCTCTCTCTTTCAGAAATACAAGCCAACTTTGCTGAGTTCAGTGACGTTGAATTGCCTTGATGCTTACAAAGTACTGAAATTGCCTATCCAACTAGCTCCCACCAAACACTGCCTGCCCCTTCTCTCTCTCTCTCTCTCTCTCTCTCTCTCTCTCTCTCTCTCTCTCCCTCTCCCCCCACCCTCCACCCTCCTCCACCACCTTTTCCACTTTTCCACTAGATTTCCCGAACATTCAAATCACAACAGGACTCTCAACCTCAGACCTGGCAATGGTCCCCTCCTCTTTGCCCCCTCCCCAACCTTCATCCATCTCCGTTGCTCTAGACCAGCAGTGGCTGCACAAGAAAAGAAAGAAAAGAAAAAAGCCTTCACAAATCCTGGTAAACCCAGCCCCGCTTCTATCGGGGAAGTACAGTAATTTCAGCGACTGGCCTTGCACAGGACTGAGTCTGAACACACCAGGAGTGTGCGCGCATGCACACACACACACATACACACACACACACACACACCATGGAACGGGCCTCTGAAGCCCGCATCCTGTCTCCAGAGTTGGCCTCAGAGGGAAAACTGTGTGACCCCCACCTAGCTGGACAGAGCCAGGGTGGCTACCCTGACATCTCTCCTCCGCCCCCAACTTCTCACCCCCACTCTAAATGACTGTGGGTGAGGCAGAGTGAAGGTGCACTGGGATGGGGGCCAAGATCACAGATGCCAAGAAATCGCCATCAGTCCCCAGCCTCCATCCCCCCCACCCTTCTGCCAGGGTCAGCAGGCTGTCCTGGCTGGACATGTACACAAGGCAGTGCCCGGTTTTATTAACATAATCAAGCCATCATTGGAAACTGTCTGGGTCTGCATCTTCGTGCACTCCTCTCCCTGTCCCTCTCTGAAATGCAGTATTTTGAGGTTCAGTTGAAGAGGCCAATAGAAGCATAAACACAAGAGGTCTCCGTGTGAGCCGACCCAGACTGGGGCACCAAGTCTGGGTGCTTGGAAGAAATGTCAGGAGTTCCTCTGTTTTCCCATAGTGTGCCCCTGTTCTTGTTTGGGACTCTAATTAGGGACTCAGGTCCAGAAAATCGAGATCTGGAGGGAAGGATGTAGGGAGCAGAAATGACCCAGAGACCAGTGGTGTGGCCCTCTGTGACTGCTCTGCCAATTTCCCAGGTCAGGTCACCACTGCAAAATTCCAAAGTGGACTGTCCAACCCTAGATGTGGGGCAACTTGGGAGTAAAGCAACTCTCCACCTTCTGGGTTTGTTTTCAAATAGACCTTGGCTAAGGCAATTTGTTTATTTGTGCAAACACCTCCGCTCTCCCAGAATGTCAGCTCAGAGGCTAAGGAGGCAACCTCGGGCCAAGGGTGGACACCAGCGATGCTATCAGAATGAGCCTGAATTTCCACGTCTCTGCTGGAAGGAAGGGGAAATCCAGAAAGATCTCTCCAATCCCTTTAAATTCGTAGAGATTTGCGGATGAAATTAATTCCCATAAATAATCTGTAGGCCCTTCCCAAGAGAGAAAAAATCTGGACTCCCCCAAGTAATAGCCCAGCCAGATTCACTTCATTCCTGGAGCTTAGCTATATGCTTGCTGTCTGCCACTGGGCAAAATCGGATTTTTAAACCTGGTGGTTGGGGGGGGGGGGATCCATTCTTGCCAGGTGACACACCGTAGGCAAAATGCAAGAGGGTGCCTTCCTGTCTTGCTCGGGAACAGCAGCAGAGCTGGGTGGGGGCACCCAACAAGGCAGAATTGGGGTGGGAAGCAGAGATCCGCCAGCAGAGGAAATTAGGAGAGAAATCTATCCCCCCATCCCAAGTCGCCAGGTCCACACTCACCTCCAAAAATCCCACCTCTTCTTTCCAGAAGGCAGCAGGGACGCCTCCCTGAGGCAGGGGCTCAGGTGAAGAACTTTGAAAGCACCCCGAAAAAGAAATCTTTTAAGGTCAGGCCTTCTTCTAGGGTCTGTCAAGAGGAACACGGCACCTCCCAGCTTGTAGTTGGTTTGTGGTCTCCGACAAATTAAATATTACTGTTTATTACCAGGCATACCCCAATAAAATAAAGAGGCAACCAGGCGATACCGACTATCTCACCAGCCGCTGCACCTATAGGACTCAGAGACGTCATGAGCCACGCAACCGGCCCGCGCACTGTCACGCTTGACTGGGGGGCAGCGGCTGGAGGTTAATTTCTCTCCATCTTCGTCTCTCAGTCCTGGATCTTTGAGGCCACCAGTCCCGGACGCCTTGGCCCCGGGGAATAAATAAAGAAATAAACAAATCCCGTGCTCTCCGGGGCAATGGGGGTGGTGACCATAAGACACGAATAGAGCCAAGATCGATTTTCTCAGCGAGGGGGAGAGGAGGGGATAACAAAGTGGGCTGGGAGTCCACCTCGGCCCCCACTGGACAGAAATCGAGTTGTTTCGGGGAGAACTGAGGACCCTTGCAGGAGACAAGGGATTCTTAGTATTTAAAACGTACTTGTTATTTTTTTTTTCCAGAGGAGGAGCAGTTGTCAAATGAATGTCCAGGCGCCCCTCTAGCCAGTCGTGTTTGGTACGCGAGACCTGAGCGCCCGATTGCCGACCTGCCTGGCAGTCAGGACTGGGCTCTCACCAAGGGGGAACCAGACAGAGAAGTTCCCAGGCAGAAAGGAGTTCGCCCGCAATGTGTCTTGCAGCGGGGAAAGGCCCTTCTGCGAAAGCTCCTTTAACCAGGTCTGGGGATGCAATTTGGCCCGGCGGGGGAGGGGTTCGAGTGGGTGGTGGGGTGGGGGTGGGGTGGACAGGGGTGATTTCTGCAGAGAAAAAATAATCGCGCCAGGTCCCGCGGAGGGACGAGACACCCTATTTTGTTGTGTAATAACAATTATTTCTAATGTGAGCAATGGGCCTAATGGCTAAGACGCGTGGACGTCCGCAAGCTTTTGCACGCATTTGGAAACCCTCTGAGTTGGGTTGCGGAAAGGCACCGCGTAGACGCCCCTGGCGGCGCCAAGCAAGGAGCTTAGGCCTGCCCAGCGGAGCCAGCGATCGCCAGGCCTTCCGCAAGGGTAAGTTCCCGCCCAGGGGCCCCGAGGGAGCCGGACGTCTGAATTTCGGCTCGTCCTTAGCTTCGGGGTTCGATCCTGGGTTTTGCGCGCCCCCAACCCCTAGGGTTTTCGGAAGCATGAGCTGGCTGCAGGCCGGGTCTACCCGGGATTGCAGCGGCTGCGAAATGTGGAGGACGCAGTTGGCAGAGCAGCGGCCCGGGCCAAGGTCAGGCCCTTGGGGAGAGTGGGCAGTGGCTTCTGCGGGCGCCCGGGCCGACCGGGCCGCAGACCTTGGCTGCTTCCAGCGAGCCCGATCCGCGTCCCTCCTCGCGGCCAGGCTGCAGTGGCTTCGCGGAGCTTCGCTTTCGTTTCCCAAATTAGTAACTTTCCCCCAATCCGAGGCCTGGTGTGTGTAACGTTTTCTCCCGGATCCCAAGAATGGGACCCGAAAGCTTCAGCCCAAGCCCCATTCTGATGAGCTCCCAGTCGACGTCTGGGCAGAGATGGGCCAGAAGCCGAGGCCTAGGCCCCGCAGGGCCGGGAAGGGGAAGGCCACCTCCGGCGGGGAGCGAGCTTCCCTTTTATTTCGGACACAAACACCTGGATCAGTACGAAAAGGTCTCTCTCTCTACAATGCCAGCATCACAGCCCCGGAGCCCCCACCGCAGGGAGAGCCAAGGAAAGACTTCAGGGAGATTTTTCGCCTCCGTTCTTTCCCCGGCCACTTGAACAGTGCACTCTCTCTCCATCCCGCCGCAACACACCGCCCTCCCCAGACCTGCCCCATCTTCCTTTCAGAAGTGTGCTGTCTGCCCTCCTTTTTTGCAAAAGTCCTGCCCTGACTTTAATACTGCATGGATAGGAAAGCCTATGATTCTATTTTTAAATTAAAGAAAAAAAAAAACACAGGGAGCGATTGCTATAGATCTTTTCCATTTTTTCCCTCCATTTTTAAGAAAGTTGCATTCAAAACTACCACATTGTTTTTCTTCCCCAAAGAAAATACACTTAAGCATACAGTCCCTTCCCTTTCTGTCCCCATGGTGTCCCTGTCTCGGCTTCACAGGGGTCTCTAAAGTAGAAAGAAGTGCTTACGGGACTGGGAAAATTATAACAATAGAAACAAAACTCAACTTTGACCGACTCATTTTGCAAGGAAAGGGTCAGGCTGAGGATGGGAAATTCTCTTTCTTCCGAAGGTCATTTCCCTCTCCCCTACTGAAATCTGGCTCTATTCTGTTTATTTCAGGACCACAATCTCTTCCTTTCCAATATTTCATTCAGCTTTTACTTTCCTCTGTTTTGACCTGAAATCGGTGGGAAGAGTACCACTGACTGTTATTAACATGCAATATCCCCGTCCAATATTGCCACCAAGAAATATTGTTGCCGCTCTCCATATTTGTGTGCTTAAGAAATATTCCTCCCTGCTCCCCAAGTTGGGAGGGTTTCTCCTTCCTGCTAAGGTGTAACAAAATAAAAAAATGGAAGCAGGAATTCATTGTAGAGACCCAGCTGAGAGAACACAAATGCTGGGGATTTGCACGCTCCCCAAGAGCCAAGAAGGCAGCGGTAAGTGGTGCTTGATAGTGACGGATCCCCTTGTTCTTGCCCCATTCAATTTGGGGGATCACCAGGGGAGAAGAGTTAGGATCTAAGCTGAGAGAATCCAGAACATCTGTAGGCTGCAATGAACCCGAAAACTCCCAACCATCTCTGCAGCCAGAACCCGCTAAAAGTCCTCTGGGTGGCGGTACCTTGTCTTCACCATGAGCAACCCCAAAAGTGTAGGAGAAAACACACTGAATTCCAAGGCTCTGAGTTTGTAAGATGGAGACTGAGGCTAATACATCGTGTTCTGGTGTTCTGGGGTGCCGGCAGGGGTCTGTCTGGATACCTTCTCCCTCAACTGAAGGGTGGGATGGAAACTTGGGAGCCCACTGATCTCTGGGGCTCTGGAAAGACAAATTTTCTTTGGCAAACGGAACAGTGTCGCGCTGTCGACACGGCAGACTATTTTTCTTGTTCCCTTACAGGGTGGGAGGAGGGGGGGAAAGAAAGAAAGGGAAATTAAATCCACACGTGTTAAGCTT